CATTTGTAAACCTGTTTACCCAACCTGTGACGGAAAGTATCAAGCACATGGTCTTTTAAGGGAAAAAAAATGAATATAGAAAAAGAAGGAATAAATTTCAGTAGGTAAGACAACATAACAGCATCCAATTCATGATCATTCAAATTGGTAAAATGAAACACAATGTATGCATGTATAGACTCTAATGTGCAATTTCTTCCACATATGGATCAACTTGTTACTTTACAAGCATAAACCACCGACAAATTTGTAATGCTACTCAGCACAAGTGATGGTTTTTTCAAGATATTTATAATTTGTGAGGAAACACAAATAAATAAATACCAACAAATTGGGAAACCAGGAAAACCTCAACCACCATGCATTAGGGGATATCAACCACAAATTAAATGAAAAAGGTTTAGCCCCCAAGTTCTTAGCAACATTCATTTTCACTTTTCTAAAATCCAAGTTAAACACCTTTGTAGCACTTCCAAAGCACATATGTTTAAATAAACGTCAACAGATTTATTGGTAAAAATAAATATAAAAAAATTGACATAAAAAGTGACGTAAACTTAAAAATGGTTGTGAGCAGTGGCGAATCCAAGATATTGAGTGAGTTAGGGCGGTCATTGACCGTGACGTCGCAATAGTAAGATTGTTTATTAATATGTAATTAAATAATATTAAAAATTTTTAATTTATATATAAATGCACTAAAATTTAAAAGTCATATACATTTGAAAATGTAATCTAATATAATCCAAAATAATAAGAAAAAAAAATACATTTTCCAATCATATATGTATAATTAAGTTTCAAGGTTTTTACGAATTTAAGCGAGACAAGATGAAGTTTATACGTAAAGCATGATTGAACGGTGAATACAAACTCCAAATTTAGGCGAAGGTTATGCAAAATTTTGAAAACAATGATTTTTAGCACTAGAACTATATATGACCCTAAAAGAAAAGTGTTTTCGAACTCTTAAAAGAATAAGAACAGATCTTATATTGTCCAAAATTGAATTATATAAAATAAAATGACATATTATCTATTGTATCAAAAAATTAGACAAAAAATGTATAGACATGAAATTGAACCCCATACATTTTACAGACAAGCTATCCTCCCTTTTGTTGAAGGTTCGTAAAATTATATTAATATTTAGTTATTATTTACCGTATTTAAAAATTAAAAGGAGGAGTGTCATTGAAGGGAATCGAACCTGTGTATCTTGGATGCAAAAGTGAATACGTGACCAGACAATCTACTCGCCCATGTAATTGAATGTTTGTACAAAACACACACACACACACATATAATTATTTAACACAAATTTTCATTAATTTTTTTCCCTTGATGGATCCAGCACGGGAGGCCGAGTGACTCCTCAGGTGCTGGATCTGCCCCTGTTGGGGATGGCAAAATGGCTCGCAGGCTCGGGACGCCTGTGGCTAGGCTCGGAAAAGCCCTAGTTGAACAGGCTCGAGGCTCGGGCCGAGCCCCATTTTGGGGCAAAGGCTCGAGCCCAAGCCGACCGGTGTCACGGTCATTTTCGGCTCGGGCGAGCTGAACCCCTTTTTAAAAAAAAATTGAAAACAACAGCTATAACCTGTAGGAAAAAAAAATGGAACAAGCTTGCATGTTGCAGGCAACTATAAAATAATAAGTTACAAGCAGCTTTAACATGAAAAAAAACTCGAGTAAGCTCGGCCCACTAATTCTGGAGCCAAGAGCTCTGGTTGAGCCTCAATTTTTTGGCCGAGCTTTTGATCGGCTTGGGCTTAAACTGGGCTAAAAAAAAGCTCGAACCTTTTTTGTCGAGCCGAGCTCGAATTTCGAGTTTCGACTCTCGGCTTGACTTGGTTCGGCTCGTTGACATGGCTAGCCTCTGTGCGGAAGAAACAAAAGGTTTTTGAGTTTATTAATTTTTAGTATGATTCTTATTTAAAGACCCAATTCATTTAAAACTCTCTCATGTCAATTTAAAAAAAAGTGACGTGAACTTAAAAAAATGGCACAAAATAAACACACTTAAAATATTGTTAGGATACCACGAAGAGATTGGACTTTGGACATATTAAAAGCTCTTAAACATCCAATTATATGCTTCCATTGTGATCTTTATGTTGAAAATGTGGTAAGCCAACCAAGATGCATCCGGCTTGGGATGAGATTTGTCGACAAAACCTTCAATGCAATGTGAATTATATGAAGATTTTATTTCAATTTAATTTGAGAGCATCGTCCATGCTAATGTTAGTTATTTTTAAACCAGATCACTTAACTACAAATGGACAATGACACAATGTCGAAAAAATCTCCTTCAGTGCAATGTGATAGGATTCCGTCAAATTGACATTTTAAAAAATAAAATAAACATCGTCTAAAGCATATAGAGGTTATGTTAGACATGTTGACTCAAAAATTAATTCAATCAATCAAAACAAAGAGAACATTTCGAGAGAATTAAAATTTAAATAATTAAACATCAATCTCATATAAATTAGAAGCCCATCTATTTGAATATCACATAGACTAATCCACAAAATGCATTTGAGATGATTAGGATTCAACGTTTTAATAATTTCAAACCTTATTAGAAATTAATATTAATATTAAACTTGGTTGTGAACCTTTGTGGTAATTTTTTGTGATCCAATAACTAGATTTTATTCATTATCACCAGCGTTGGCGTCAGAGTTGGCGTCGGAGTTAGGTGTCAGAGTTGGCGTCGGAGTCGGCGTGAGGAAGTCGAAATCGGACTGCAAGTTTTTTATTTCGGATGGGAACAAGTTAGGATTTCTTCTGATTGTGATTTGGTGGGTCGGTGTTTAAGATATCCACGAATAGGAAAGGAGAAGGAGAAAAAATAATAGAGAAGTACGGACGGAGATGAAAGCAATGAAATTGGACGGAGAAAAAAGCGGTAAAAGCGTACGGAGATGGAGATGAAACTAGTGGAAAACGGAGTGTGAAAATAGAGAATATTTGAGAGACGTAGGGTTCTAGAATGACAAGATTGGGCTTTGGGTTGAGATTTTGGGAAAACTCTAGTGAAAGCGTATTAATTACGGTCGTCATTTGTTTTGACTTGTTATAAAGTATAAACCTAATTTGTCCATTTTTTAGAGTATCCAATTTGACTCATAACAAAATCAAGATGACCCGTTTCATAAAATATATTGTGTACAATAGTCGACAATATATATATATATATATATACACACATGCACACACATCGTGGCTATTATAGTACGTGACCACAAGTAGAGAGTGCATCACTATCAGTGGGCCTATTAATCACGGAGAATTCATCACTGTTGCATGTGAATTATGATCAATTAATCAAAACACAAGTCTTTGATTCCTTCTTAATTTTGACTAATCTTTGCCATTTCAGTAGTTGCCTCGTTGGCATCGCCAATTTTCATTTCCCATTGACTTTTGTGGCACTTTTTTTTATTTGAGAAAAAAAAAGGAAAAGAAAAAGAAAAATCATATATGCACATGACCCGACTCAGTAATGAGGGCAAGTCAATAAAATATATATTTATGATGAAAATTAATGCAAAAAACATTTAAACACAAGACGGTACAAAAACATTTAAAAACATTTAAACACAAGACGGCACTTTTTTTTATTTGAGAAAAAAAAAGGAAAAGAAAAAGAAAAATCATATATGCACATGACCCGACTCAGTAATGAGGGCAAGTCAATAAAATATATATTTATGATGAAAATTAATGCAAAAAACATTTAAACACAAGACGGTACAAAAACATTTAAAAACATTTAAACACAAGACGGCACTTTTTTTTATTTGAGAAAAAAAAAGGAAAAGAAAAAGAAAAATCATATATGCACATGACCCGACTCAGTAATGAGGGCAAGTCAATAAAATATATATTTATGATGAAAATTAATGCAAAAAACATTTAAACACAAGACGGTACAAACATCCACGTTAATAAACAAGAGAGATCAGACATCCATGCAAACAAGAGTCAGTGCATCCATCCACTTCAATCAAAAAAGAATAATTCTGCTCAAACAGGGAATATTGTTTTAGTTCGGTCACTTTAATTTGTTGGTTTTTAATGGAATATTTGACGTATGGTCGACATGAATATTTGTACTGTCTCGTGTTTAAATATTTTTCTTTGGTGTGAATGACTGCACCGTCTTGTGTTGGTTAATATGAATGTCTACACCGTCTTGTGTTTAAATTTTTTTCATTGGCGTGGATTGTTGCACGGTCTTGTTTTTGTTAACCTAGATGTCTACGCTGTCTTGTGTTTGAGTATAATAATTTTTTTTTTCATTATGTAAATGATTGCATCATCTTGTGTTCATTACCTAAGTGTTTGGATTGTCGTGTGTTTAAATATTTTTCGATGACATAGATAACTGAGATGTCTAGTCATTTTTAACTTGAATGCCTTGGTCATCGTTTGTTTAAATATTTTCATTAATTTTGCTACACAAACAGGGAAATTTGACCGAATTTAAAAAACAGAATTATATTCCCTGTTTAAATAAAAAAGAAAAAACACCCAATCCATTTTTGCCAACTCAAATGGTGTCATTGACACCCTGTTTATAATCCCTGTTTGAGCAGGTTTATTCAAAACAATAACAAAACTTCACTGGTGACTTTAAAGTAAAATTAAGTTGAAGAACAAGGATCGTTTTACCCCACACGTCACTTAAACACAGAGCATTCCACTGTCCCAAATCCAACTCAGTTCAGTACTCACTGAGTACACTCCACTTTCCCCTCTCTCTATATATATAACATTGTATAGCTACACTTCTCTGTGATCTCCCCTCTCTCCTTTCTAGCTTTCTCTCTCTTAAACTTTCTATTACCAGTACTGTATGACAACACAAAACATAGATCCCTTTAGTCAGTAACTTAGATAACGGTTTTTCTCTCTCCCTAATTTGCCCTTTTCTCTTCCAACAAGCAATTCAAGAAAATTAGCCTTGTTTTCTTAAATAATCAGCAAAAATGATAAGTTGGCACGATCTTTATGTGGTATTAACTGCTGTGATTCCCCTCTATGTGGCCATGATCTTGGCCTACGGCTCCGTTCGGTGGTGGAAAATTTTCACCCCTGATCAATGTTCTGGTATCAATCGATTTGTTGCAATTTTCGCAGTTCCACTTTTGTCTTTTCACTTCATTTCAACCAATAATCCCTATGCCATGAATTTTCGATTCATAGCTGCTGATACACTTCAAAAGATTATTATGCTTGTGGTTCTTGGTTTGTGGGCTAATTTGACCAATAAAGGCAGCCTTGAATGGTCTATTACTCTTTTTTCACTTTCTACACTGCCAAATACACTTGTAATGGGCATTCCTTTGTTGATTGCTATGTATGGGGAATATTCCGGCAGTCTTATGGTGCAAGTGGTGGTGCTGCAATGCATAATTTGGTACACTCTCTTGCTGTTTTTGTTCGAATATCGCGGGGCGAAAATGCTTATTATGGAGCAATTCCCTGAAACTGCAGCCTCAATTGTGTCTTTTAAGGTTGGATCCGACGTTGTTTCATTAGATGGACAGGATTTTCTTGAGACGGATGCTGAGATTGGAAATGATGGCAAACTTCATGTTACTGTGAGGAAATCGAATGCCTCAAGAAGATCACTTGGATCCGGTTCATTCTCCGGGATAACTCCCCGGCCGTCGAATCTAACCGGAGCTGAAATTTACAGTATGAGTTCATCAAGAAATCCAACTCCAAGAGGGTCTAATTTTAACCATTCAGATTTGTACTCAATGATGGGATTTCCAGGTAGATTATCAAACTTTGGCCAATCAGATACAGGTAGATTATCAAATTTCAACATAGCAGATATGTATTCCGTGCAATCCTCCAGAGGCCCAACTCCAAGGCCATCAAATTTTGAAGAAAATTGTGCCCCTGGTGGCCTGATGAGTTCTCCAAGATTCGGGTTCTATCCATCACAACCCGTTAACACTTCTTACCCGGCCCCGAACCCGGAAATTTCTTCAGCTGTCCCGAAAACCGGTAAAGATCAGGTGCAGCAAGTGCAGCCGCAACAACACAACCAGCAGGGGAATAAGGCCAATCATGATGCAAAGGAGCTTCACATGTTTGTGTGGAGTTCAAGTGCATCACCAGTTTCTGAAGCTGGTGGGCTCCACGTTTTCGGTGGGCAAGTGCCTGACCATGGTGCCAAGGAAATCAGGATGTTGGTTTCTGATCATCAACCTCAAAATGGGGAAACCAAAGGTAAAATTTATTTGGATCGTCTTCTCTAAAAGCCTAAACTATTATTATATCCTGTAGTTTGTTTTTTTTTTTTTTAATAAATTTGGAATTGTATAATGAAGTCATTCCGCAAGCTGGGGACATAGACGACTTTAGCTTTGGTGGAAGAGATAATGGATTTGAAGAGAAAGAGAAAGAGGTTCCCATAGAACTATCAAAACTGGGGTCCAGCTCCACCGCCGAGCTCCACCCAAAGGCTGCTGGAGTTCAAGATCCCGGCGTCGTAAAACAGATGCCGCCGGCGAGCGTGATGACACGACTGATCTTGATCATGGTTTGGCGCAAGCTTATCCGAAATCCCAACACCTACTCTAGTCTCATTGGCCTCATTTGGTCTCTAGTTTCATTCAGGTAAAAAGATAACTAGCAGTTTTGGTATACAAATGATTAAGAATAAGTAATTATGATTAATTAATGCGTTCTGATTGATTAATTTTCAGGTGGGATGTGCATATGCCTAAAATTATTGAGAAGTCAATCTCTATACTTTCTGATGCTGGCCTTGGAATGGCCATGTTTAGCTTGGGTAAGTTGTCACATTACAAAACCGCCCCNCCCCCCCCCCCCCCCCCCCCCCCCCCCCCTCCCTTTTTTTTCCCCCTTCGAACCCATAATGTGAAACTAACAGAAGCATATTATTTCATAAGCATTTAATCTTTGATTGTTTGATTCATATAGAGATGCTAGCTATATATGGTTGGTGCCCATAAAGCATTCTCGGGACAGCTCATTTAACAAAGAAAATCGGACATGACTCGACATTATTAGTATTCAGTCATATCTAGTACTGTGAACCTAAGTTAAATTTTAGGCCATCTATTATTGGCATACAAATGCAATGTTAACAACTATGTTTGAAATTGTGACCTCCAATAAATTCGTTGACAAACTGACAGAAGTATTGATAAGAAATGTCTCTTTGCGGTCCCAAATGAGTAGATGATGGGCATTACAAAGTAATTAATGGTAGTTGAGATTTAATCGATTATATTTCTAGGTTGTTTGATTGGATTGTTATGGACTTTCAGGTCTGTTCATGGCCCTTCAACCGAAGATAATCGCATGTGGGAACACTGTGGCTTCCTTCGCCATGGCTGTAAGGTTCCTCACCGGCCCAGCAGTAATGGCCGCGGCTTCCATTGCTGTTGGTCTTCGTGGTACACTTCTCCATGTTGCCATCGTGCAGGTAAGTCGTCACTTTCTTATTAATCACACTATCTTTTAGTACATTGTATTAGATTAATTCTATCTCATATTGTCTAGTCGAGTATACCTGAAATACCATGTATCTGGTGTAGAGAACATTATAGATTCAAATTCATTTCATGTGCTGGCATACAGAATAAAGTATATCCATGGGGACCATTTTGCTGTAAAGTGTTCTAATATTTCTTATCCAATAGGCTGCACTTCCACAAGGGATCGTTCCATTTGTGTTTGCAAAAGAGTACAATGTCCATCCAGCAATTCTAAGCACTGCGTAAGTACTTTAATCGACACGATATCATAATTAAATTTTTTTAACTATAATTCTCTCGTTTTTCATTTTTTTTTTTTTTGCAATTTCACGAATTTCAGGGTCATATTCGGGATGTTGATCGCACTGCCGATTACACTCGTCTATTACATTGTTCTTGGATTATAAGATTATGACAGCAACATTCAGACTGTGTGAAAATGGTGTCAAAATTTCACAGAATACTTGCTGCATCAACATGATACTACAGTCTAACAGTTGAATTTTGAGAGACAAAGATGCATCGCCATGTAGAAAAATATGTGATTCCTCCTCGGAATTTGGAGCTGCAAATATTTGACTTATTTAGTCAAAATTTCCACCGATATAGGAATCATGCCCCCCAAGGAATGGAGTAAAATGTAATGTAAAAGAGATTTTCCATTCTATTTTCATCAAGTTTTTTCCTCCTCAGTGATGATTAGTTTGTGCCTTGTGGTTATATACAGTATTTGTTTAGTTTGTCATTTACTTGACAAGGTAAATTATTACCTTAGAACAAGTAATGATCGAAGGGTTGTTGTTTTTCATATTTCATTTACTTTTGTGAAGTGAAAATGATGTATTTTTAAAACTTTTTCAAGAGAGATAATTTTAATACACAGATCTTTCCCTCGAAAGAAAAAAATAGTCTAAAAAAGGGGATTGAGGGATTTTGGCCGTATGCTTCACTTGACTAAATAAGATTAAATACGATAATAATTGATAAATTCCTATTTCCAAATAGATGCAGCAACTTCATTTTTGCTTCAACGCACCTTGGAGTGTTAACAGGCGTGGCTTATGAGTTTGTTTTCCGGTTTGAGTTTTGGAAAAAAAAAAAAAATTTGAGATTATAAGCAGGGACGGATTACAGACCGGGCTAATACATTAAAAAAAAAAAAAACAAAGTGATTTATAAAAGTTAAACTGATACTGATGAAACGTGTGGTTGATAAATTGATAAAAATTGTGGGGCTATGAAATATGTGATTAAAAATGAAATTTGATCAGCTCATAATCTCACAAAAACTTTGTCAATCAGGAGCTTAATACATTATATTACATTGGATTAGAATTAATTTAGTCCAATCTGACGTTTGTAATATCCAAATCACGTAACTTATCTTCCCTTAGTTACATCGAATTTAAAAAAATCACGCAATGAATCATGAGATGACATTCCTTGTAAAGCATGTCAAATCGAAAAATGAGCTTGATTCATAGCAAAAATGGTAATTTACTTATAGGTAAATAAGTAGGCTTTAAAAAATAATTTTCTATTTATTAAAGTTCAAATTATATAAGTTATTTTGAAATTAAGCATATGTTTGACATTCTTTACTCTACTTTAATTTTTTAAGTTATCCAAATATATTTGTAGCTAAAAAGTTATTTAAAAATAACTTTGATTTGTATGTCTTCTGTCAATGTTTGAATTTATTCCCAATAGTCACTCTATTTAACAAAGGACTACCATCCAAGATCCTGTCTTCTTCAATTTGAAAATTTGAAAAATCTTTTTCACAATAAATCATTAAATTTAACAAAAGTGTTATCCAAATGGTTATTGTACTAACATTAAACGTACACGCAATTTGTCATGTTATCAAAATCGTTAATTTTCAAATAAAACGAGATGAAGTGACGTGGAAGATAAAAAAACGACCGTTTAAAAAAAAATAAAATCATATTTCAATGATCAATAAGAAACAATTTTGAAAGAGATTGTCTAAAAGAATGCATCCGAGTCAAAGGTCCATTGCTTTTGCCTAAGAGTTTTCAGCCATTGATGCGACCACAATCCTACCCTACAAATTGATAGGGCTGCTCATTATTCAACAATTTAAACCTTTTTCTTTCATCTTCGTTGGATTCTTTTTCAATTCGAAATCACTCCTTTCAACTCTCCTTGCAAGGCTTCATTTGAATACAAAGTACAACCTATTAGAAATTTCGCGATTAACTTTTTATTATGAGCTTATTTGGGAGGGATTAAAATCGGATTAAAATTGAAAAACTAGCCGTTATTGTTGATTTTTATTAGACGAGTGAGACCATAACGACTATATTTTCTAGGCACTATTGTGTTCAAAAATAACAACTAGCTTCAAAAAATTAAATATATTAGAATCATGTGGTAATTTTATATCGATTTGAACTATTGTCATCGAGAATTGAAGGTATATAATTATATTTTACAGATTTTTCATACATTTTATTTGTCCACATGCGCCTTTGACAATTGTTCTTGACCGTGGTAAAAGGGAGAATATGAATTTTCTATACAAAGGGAGTATAAAATCATGTGTAATCAAGTCGAGACGAATGAAATTTTTTTGTTAATTAAATAAATCAAATTATTCGTGCACTCTAATTATTTTAATTAAAATTCGAAGTATTCTATTAGATCACCTAATGAACTACCTGAACCTATATTTTTAATTCAAAACAATATCCCACGTCACGATTTTGTGAGTAATTAAACAATGTTTTAGTACATTGAGAATTGAAAATAACTGACTCATTGCTCAAGTACAATGTGACTCTCCACGATAGATTAAGAATGTATAAACTTTAGTATATGCACGTGAACGTTTACTAAAATATTCTTTCTAATTATAAATCTTAAGCATAATCAAAATCTTGAATTTGGTGAGCAATTTGGAAGCTCCCAAAACTCCAAAAGGCCTTTAACTATGATGCGATGTCGTATTGGAGGGGAACACACGCACTCATTTGTATATTTTCGAGTTATCAATTGAATCGAGCTGGGCTATAACTTCGTTAACCGAGCGACCCTATGAAATTGGAATTTACCATTTAGTTCTTTAACCTTTTACAATATTTACTAATGCATAGTACATCAAAATCCGATAAATGTAGGGGTATTTTGGAGAATTAACCATAAATGTCGTTTTATAGCAACAAACCAACATACCGCAGGACAATTGTTGAATATTACAAATTATCGGAGAAGTGCGTGGCTCACGTGGGATGTTTGGAAGGTTTAACCTTACGTGCTACGAGTCAATCGTCGTGCACGCATTTCATAGACCGCAATCTTATAACATTGATCACCTCAACTCATTTCAATAAAAATCGAAACAGATCATTAAAATAATGGAAAAAAATGATAAAAAGGAACAAGAATACAAACTACTATGTCAAATAATGGACATTTATAATTTTCTTGAATTTACTTTTTCATATAATGGAGTACTTTTGTACTTTTCAACACTAAACACATGATCAGGGATGGAGCCAAGAATATAGTCAAGTGCAGACACAATTTAATCAAAGTCGAATTTTGATTTTTTTGTGACCTGGGATGACTTTTAAATTTGAGTTCTTAAATTAAAGTATGTGTTCGCGTGAAACTCACAAGCGAACGGGATCGTTGTACAAGTAATAAAAAAAAAATGATAAAAAGGAACAAGAATACAAACTACTATGTCAAATAATGGACATTTATAATTTTCTTGAATTTACTTTTTCATATAATGGAGTACTTTTGTACTTTTCAACACTAAACACATGATCAGGGACGGAGCCAAGAATATTGTCAAGTGCGGACACAATTTAATCAAAGTCGAATTTTGATTTTTTTGTGACCTGGGATGACTTTTAAATTTGAGCTCTTAAATTAAAGTATGTGTTCGTGTGAAACTCGCAAGTGAACGAGATCGTTGTACAAGTAATAAAATATGTGAGTTAAGAGTATCGTTCCCACGAAGAATAATGTCTAATTTGTAGTTCAATAGCTACTATTAAATTCGAAATATGATGCCATCAAAAGTGTTGTGATTTATTTGCTATTTATTNCTATTTGTTAAGAAGATATAGTAGCAATGTCAATTGTTTTGTCTCCATCGTACTCAACTTTGAGGCCCATATCCTTCAATTACACCCCATTTTGCAGACTCCTTGAGCTTGTTTTCTATCATTACACTTTAACTTCACATTGTAACTATTGAGAGCACCATAGTTTCTCACTACAATCTGAAACTCTTCCATTGATGGAAAGAGTTGTCCAACCTCAAACTGCGGATACCTCATATCTGTCTAACCTCAAACTGCAGATTCTTCTTGATCGAAAGAGGTCTCTCATATGTATTCTGCTGTTAGGTATTTGCAGAAGTAGAAATTTGGTTGAAAATCACGTCCAAATTGATTTCCAAAAGAGTTCCAATCGAATAAGGAAAGTTGTCTTCGCGCGCGGATTTTTTTGTCCCTGCACAGCAATCTATATTTTAGTCATAACTTTTCCTTCTAATATCTGATTGAGACGATTTAAAGTGTCTTGGAAATATAACTCAAAGGGCAACAACTTTACTAGAAATATAGTTTTTCCAATTCGGACGTTTACTATACCAAACAGGGGTCTCAATTTTCGGCTAAAAATCTAGAATATATCTTGTGCGATTGGAAATTGACTTTGATAATATTTTGATCATATTCCATTCTTTTTTGAATTCTAATTTCATCCAATTGTCTCCTAACAATTTTTAAAGTATTTTCTTGAGATTCGAATCAACCATTGAGTATTTGAAATTTAATCCTCAAACTTTGAATTTCGCCATTTTTTGCTACATTTTGCTTCTTTTCTCCAATTATTCATCAAATATCGAGTTTTACCTACAAGATACAATGTGAAACAATTTAGGTCACATTTTGCCAAAAGAATAATAAAATTCTATAATTTCAAATCCCGAATAAGTGTAGAAAATACACTTATTAGTATGCAATATGCATTCAAATTTTTTTAACTAATATATAAACTCAATAAACAAAATGAAACACCGTCCAAAAAAATTATTTAATAGACAAACAAAAGAATATGCCAATGCACATTCCACCTATAAAATAAAATTAGGAACAAATATATCAAGTTTTCATATGCATGCTATTAAATTAACCAAGATTCACACCAATTTCTAGCCTCAGCCTAAAAAATAATTAAATAAACTTTATTTGAACCTTTTAATTCTCTCATACATATGTTCATCGGCAAACACGATGCTGATTTTTTATTTTTTGCTCGAGAAAACTTTAGTGCATGCACTTGCATACATTGGCCTTGAGGTGGCTCCGCCCCTGCACATGATAGTTACTTTATTATTTAGTAACGTGGATTGAGAGGTCTGTCA